CTGCTGTCCAGAAACCGGCTCTTTCCAGGGGAGCAGTAGGTCTTCATGAGCTCACTTAGGTGGGAATGTCATCTCCTAAGGCATGAGTTGGCAAAGTTTTTCTGTACAGGGCCAGACAGTCAATAATTTAGACTCTGAAGGTCACACAGTCTCTGTGGCAACCACTCAATCTGCCTTTAGTGCCAAGGCAACCACAGGCAATATGTAAATGGACAAATGTGGTTGAGCCAATAAAACTTTATGAGCCCCGAAAACTGAATTTCATACAATTTTCACATGTCACAATATATTATTTTTCTTTAGCTATTTCTCAACCACTTAAAAATGTAAAAACCATCATTACTCACCAACCACACAAAACCAGGCAGCTGTATTTGTCCCGTGAGATTGGGCCCATGAGACAGTTTAACACCCTTGCCAACAGCCCAGTTTTCCTTTTGTTTGTACCTATTCCTTTCCCCTCCCTTTCCATCAACCTACGAAGTACATGCTTTCTCTTTTAACAGTGTTCCTTTTGCCTCTTTAGGTCTCTGATGCCCAGTTTCCACTTCTTGCCCTTAAGTCCCCAAACCCAACAGGACAATGAAGAGGTCAAGAAAGACGCAAGGATGGCCTGAGGAAAGGGTGCGAGGCCCTCTCACGCTGCTCTCCAGCTGTGTGATCTTCTGCAAGTTACACAACCATTCCAAATCTCCATTTCACCACGTGTGAAAACTGGATCATGGTATCCAACCGCCTGCAAACCTTTCTGAAGGTGATTCCGCAATGAGCAAGGTCAGTAGAGTGAAACATACAACCTGTGAAGAGCTGCTAAGCCCAGTTCAGGCCTGCCTGCTCTGTTAGGTCATGGCAGTGCATGCGTCTGTGGGGAGACGAAGGAAGCACAGTAAGTTGAATTAAAATCCTGGGAAAGGAGCAGCTAGCAATCTCATTGATTGCACGCACTTTTCATAATTCCCTTAGTGGGCCCAAATCAAACACAAACTGAGAATCTTCTGTGTGCTCAAAAAACAAGGAGGTACTGTGAAGAGCACAAAGATGAATAGGACTCAGTTCTTACTTCAAAGGATATATAATTTATGAAACATAAACATCTATCATACAAAGCCAGTATGATTTGTATAAACCAATTGCATTAAGAAGTTGGAAACAGAGCCAAAAAAAAGACAGTAAGGGGGAAGAATCTCCTAGGAGCCAGATTTAAACAATGAATAGACTTTCAAGAACAGGCAGACAGAAATTTGAGAGTACAATCATCCCTCAGTGTCTGTGGGAGATTGGTTCCAGGACCCCCGACCCCCAAATCCGTGGAAGCTCAAGTCCTTTGTATAAAATGGTGTGAAACAATGGATGCAGTCCGCCCCCGCAGCTATAGATCCCCACCTGTATACCGAAAGTACCGTTTCTGACCCACAGTCTTTTAATTCTGCGTGCGGAACCCGCAGATCTGGAGGGCCGACTAGACTGTAATGTACATATGTAGGAGTGTAGGCCACGTGGCTTCTCAGTGCTACAGACACTACAAAACGGTTCTCCAGCGATGCTGTTCTTTCATCAGCAGTTTGAGAGTTATCATCCTCACAACATTTTGCACCATCAGAGTTTATTTTTAAATGCTTTAGCCAATGTGATGGGTAGAAAAGGCTATCCTAATTTAATGTTCATTTTCTAGCCTCACATTGTCTAAAGTTGTTTCATATGTCTGCTTTCTGCACTATGAAATAAAAGGCACCATTTGTTTAAGGATGATGAGTCGTGTGTGGCTGGAGCCCAGGACACAGAAAGTGCACAGAAGACAGCCTCTCTCTTCCTTCTAGAGGTTTCTCCAGGAACTTGCTTTTTCCCTCTTTACTCCGTAAATTGCCAGTTTGCATCAGCAGATAAAGACAAACCTCTCCATTCCTCCTTGAATGCGTCAGAGTAAATTAAAGAGTTTATAAATGAACATGGTTGAAAAAGACTGGTCTTGACAGAAGCATCTGAAACCATTTCCTCCAATTTTGCCCAAAACTTGGTTCTGCCCAATTTAGATCATGTAGTAGTCTGGGTGCCTTAGAAAACACACAACAATTTTAATCCAGGTCTAGAGACCTGGTTGCAAATGCTTGGCAGGAATATATCCACTCTTCTCCTTCTCTCACCTAGAAAAGTGTAGGAAAGATAAATCAGGGTGTGAACCTGATTTTTTGACACTTATTAGGAGGGTTTTGCCTCGAAAGCTCCCATGATGATATAATATTAAGGTAAATTCCTATAAATGATTTTAGGAGAAAATGATTGTTTTTAACCAGAATCTCATTTAGATTTTTTTCATGCTAAGAACAAAGTGGCAACCAAAAAAGGAATGAAAACAGAACACAGCAGAACTCTCAGTAAATATAACAAAAAATAATGTTCTCAACTCTGGTCAACACATGGCATCAAAGCTAGGAAAACCTACATTCCAAAAATTGATTCATGTGATTCAACTAGCACATTCCCTACTACAGTGGAAAAAAGGAAAATCACTATAAATATTTGCTTTCAAAAAAAAGTTTCTATTATCATTCTAGTAACACTATAATGCTATATTGCCTCAAATACATAGATTTATCTAATCCAGTGGTTTTTCAATCCCTCAGGAGACATTTGGCCAATTTTCGTTTTGAGACAATTTTCATTTTGAGACATTTCTTACACCTGGAGGAGGGTGCTTCTGGCATCCAGTGGGTAGAGGCAAAGGTGCTGCTAAATATCGTACAATGCATAGGACAGCCCCCCCAAAATAAATAATTATCTGGCTCAAAATGTCAACAGGACCAAGAAAGTCTGATCTAATCTATCTCTTCATGGCTAGCTGGGACATGGTGACAAATATAGGAAGTTAGAGATGATAAGCACTGTTCTTACAGACCTATTAAGCTAGAGGACTTAAGAGTTCTAAAGTTTGCTTGATATTTACATAGATAAATAAAAATTTCCAATTTACTAATTTTCAGTTGTCATATTTTAGGGAGAAAATGGAACATAGTCCATGATTCTACCCATGTTATCAAGCAGTGTACCATCTATATATTAGCTTATCACATCTACTTACACAAAAGTTCATAATCAAACTGGCTATTGCTGGCTATACCTATTACAAATTAATATTTTCCTTCATTTAGGAGATAAGTGAATTCATCATGCCCACCCACCGAAAGCAACCAGTCCTCAGATTTCAGCAGTGGGTTTTATGTGGTCATTTTCTGAGGAAAACATTCATATCTGAAATTCCCTTTCTCTGATGTTACAATCCATTAAAATTTTAATGTCCAGCTCCATGAAATTTAAAAGCCAGAGTGGGAAAGGAAGATGATTTTGACTGTAAACTTAAAGGCAGCAACAAAGAAATACCGTCTATAAAAAAATAAGAGAAATTGGTTAAATTGGTTATACGAAAATAACCAACCTTTGATAAATAAATAACCTTCGAGATAAGTTATACAAAGGCTGAAGAAGTCCCTCGAAAAGTAGCAAAGCCCTTAGTGGTTTTGTTTTGTTTTTTTCCCCAGTACGTTTCCTTGGGTTTTTCACTATGAAAGTCATTTTTCTGGAAAAGTTTTTTTAAGTGTCTCCATTTCCAAGTTTGCTGAAGGCAAACTTGGAAATTTTCTAGATGTTACACTAAAAGAAAAATTTAGTTATGAAAAAATTCAGTTCAATTTAAAGGAACCACATGGTGTTCAGAAATCCATTTTAAAACCATCACATTTCTGAGAGAAAGAAAAGCATCATGTAACTAACAGAAATCCATTTGAATACCGAGGTTTCTCAAGCTAACAATGCACGTACTGTTTGGCAGTAATGTAGAAAGATGGGCAGTTTAGCCTGTTGAAGTTTTCTGAAACATTGAAAGATGAAGACAAAACTATTGCTATATGGATTAGCTGAGCGCTGCACCAAATGTAATGAATGTAAACCTGAATGTAAACCTGAAATAGAAATTTCTGTCCTTGTTAAGCAAAATTCGAGCAGAAAGTGCCCTACGTGTTTACAAAAAAAAAAAAATGGTATCAAAATGACCTAATCTAAAAAAAAAAAAAGTATAGCGAGACATGTAAATGAAAGTTCTAGTTTTAATCTAATTTCAGAGAATTGAGCACAGAGTTAAAGCACAAACGTGGAAAACTCCAAGGAAACCTCATGTGCGACAAATGGCAGCAAAGTATCTTTAGACAAACATGTGGTGAGACGCTTTAATCTGGCTAAACGTAAAAAGTTTGGTTTTACATGAACTTGACTAGACTATTCGCTGCATTTTCAGCTTCTGAAAACAAGAACCGGCACCGGGCTGAGGAAAAGGGTGGCTAAGGGGAGACGCTGTATGTCCACAGCTTCCCCCTCCAAATCCCCAAGGAGGAAAGCTGCTGCCTGGAGGTGTTGGGTAGCCAGGCAGCCTTACAGAAAACAACCAAAGTTTTGAGCGTTGTTTTTGGCAAGAAATAGGTGTTACCGGCTGTTTCCTGGGGCGCTGGAAGGCATGTGTCACCATCAATCAGAACATACACTGAGCCCCGTGTTTAGGTCACAGAGGGAGTGCTACCTGGTCCAACACCGACAAATCATGCCAACTCCAGGAAAGAAGGAGAAAGTATAGTTAGTTGCAGGAAAGGTGTTGGTGTCCAGTGACCTGAAAGACCAAAAGGAAACCCTAACTTGTACTGCAGAAAAACTCCTGCGCTCTAGGGTTACTGAGAACTCCCAGAGCCCAAGAGGGCGGGTGCTCCCACACTTCCCGAGACCAGCACCGCCCGAGCGCAGCTCTGGAGAAGAAAGACCTCGGCGGTCCTGGGAAGGAGGGACCCCCACTCACCTCAGTGGGCCCGGGAGCGCCAAGGCTCCACTCCCCTCTGAGGTCCTGGGGAGACACGGGACCCCACTTACTCACCTTGCAAGCCCCGCGCGAAGGGCTGCAAGATGAATGAACTGTCCGACGGGACGAGCCTCACGGGACAGGGGCGGGGCGCGGGAGTGCTCACCTGTGGGGATGCTGACGGGCTTCTCGGAGTCTGCAGCTACGCACGGCTTCCAGGGCTGCAAGACGAGGGCCAGCAGCAGAAGCTGCGGCTTCATCGCGCACCACCCCATCTTGGGCCCCTCCAGGGCCGGGGAGGACTCGGCACCCCCACCGCCCAGCAGCGGCGAACTTCTCGCGAGAGCGCGGGACCGTCGGTCCGCCGCGGGCCGACAACTGCGGGAGGGAGCGAGCGGGCCAAGTGCGCGCAGCAGACCTGCGGCCGGAGTCAAGCGCCTGGCGACTTATAGGCTCCCCGAGGGGGAGGCGACGGGGCGGGCCGCGCCCCGGCTATTGGCCGCCTGCTGACCCGCCGCGCCGCTGCGTGCGCCCGTGCGGTGTCCTCCGCTGGGCTTCTCCGGCCTCACGTCTGGGATTGTTTGTTTAACTCCGACCCATTTAAGGAGCTGTCTGCGGCTACGTGTAGAGGCTCACGCAGGGCTTCTGGCTGGAACAGGGAAGCGTGTACTTAAGTTTGGGAGTGGGCCTGGGAGAGCGGGGAGGAGCCGCCCGGAGTCTGGCGGCGGGCGGTGCTCCCGGCTTCACTCCCGGCTGCCCAGCACCAGAAGCTTGCTTTCCGTTAGCTTCCAGGAGTGAGACTTTGCCCTTCTCTGCATTTGCATACTACCCCTTGTCGGAAGTGACTGCGGATCCTCAGCAATCTTGACATTGAAAATAAACCCCCACCCCCACCCATTTAACTCACGGGTCAAGTTTCTTCACCCTGTGAAAGAAAGCCCTGTTTGTATTTTACTGCGTAAACCGAAAGTTTTTATTGTCCAGTGAACATTTCATCCTCCTCCTCCTGTGCCAGGAGAGCTATTGACTCTCTCCAGTAATGGCTTGTAAATCCTGCGAAATTGGAGTCCAGCGTGTGTAACCTGGGGCTGTGCCTTACAAGACCGTCCTTCAGTCCACATGGAAAATTACTCCCAGAGATGTCGTCCTTGGCGCACCCTCCCCTGCTTCCAGTTTTGATTCATGTCTAAGCAGATTTCTTTTTTCTGTATTACTTCTCATCACAGTTTAGCCCAGTGTTATTCTAGCTGTTAGGATGAGCACAAATTAAGGCAAAAGCGTGAAAATGTTGCCTCATATTTTGTGACATGGGCTGTTTTAGGGGACGAAAAGAATAAGACTAGCAGTATGTTGGTATTCTGTAATCTTATACCTCTATCTTACTAAAATGGAAAAAAAGAAAAAAGAAAAGCCTGATTTGAGCCAATACCCTTTCCAACTCTGAGCCTTTGAAGTTAAAACAGAAAACTATTGAAAAAGATATGTTCCATTATGGTCACAGTTTGTCTAAAATTAGCATGATATCTAGGTAAGGTGAGTACTAAATGGTCACATTAAAAACAGATGGAAAAACCTGCAAAGAAATGTTGCCTGGGATGTGACATTTTAGACAAAGAATCATTTCCTGTGCCCAGAACTAAGCCAGTTGTTAACTGTGTTTTGAAGGTTTGGTCTCAGTATTTTAAGAGGAAAATTGGAGACAGTTCACAGAAGTGTAACAAATAATTAAAGAAATGGAAAGTATGACCTGTGAGAAGAATGAAATGAGGTTTGTTCAGCCTAAAGTAGAAAAACTCAGGGATGGATTCCTTAATCACACCCTTCAGTGTGTGGCCATGCGCCGCCACTTCATAAACCGGGCAGAAAGCAAGTAGCCCTAGTCCTCTGGATCTGAGGACTTTTCCAGAAATGGCCAAATCTCAGCCTCCAGGATTCCAAACGTGTCTACTGTGCCTGAACTTGGCCAAAGTCTTTGATCTTGACTTCTTGCTTCCCTGGTTGTCCAGTTATCTTCAAGAACTCGTATGAATAGAATCCAGCGTTCTGCCCACATCCCCTAATGACCCCATGCACACTTACAGCCTCTCCCCATCACAAGTGTGCATGTGTGTCTGTGTTGCCAAGTCCACCAATCATTGCAGGTTACCATGACAGTCATTCTCCTCTATTGAGAGTCACAAGTCAGAACTGGAAGACTTGTATACAGCAATGTTTCTTTGGGATTTTCAAAATAGCCAGATACATTTATCATTGTCTGAAAGAGCCCCAATTATGAAACAAATTCCTTCCTGCCTTTTTATATTTCCAGCTGTCTGCTGAACATCCCTACTTGGACATTCCACTGGCACAAAGTCCCAATGTCTAACTCAACAAACCCAGGTCTCACTCAGTTTCCTCATCTCTGATATTCATCTCTGATACTGCTGCTCTCTAACTCGCGTTGCCTCAGACGTTTTCTACTCTCCTTTCACCCACCGCAACACACAGAGCTTGACACAAATGTTTTTTCCCTTCACATTTTCTCTCCATCTAATCTTTTCTATTCCCACTGCCACCTCACTAATGCACTCCTGAATGTACCCTACCTGTGCTGTTTGAACTGTTTCCTCCCTGTAGACTCTCCCTGCCCCCAGTACTATACCGCTATATACCACAGCTAGAGTCCTCATACTCAAATAGCTTTTTGATTACTTCATCCCCAAACTCAAAGATTGCAAAAGCAATTTGGAAACAATCCAAACCCCTTAACTTAGAATTCAAATTCCTTTGCAATCAAACCTAATCACCTCTACCTATATCTTATATCCAACCAATCTAGTTTGCTTTATTATCTCCCAAAAACTTTGTCATTTTTATTCTCTAGAGTTCGGGTAAGAATCACTGTCTTCATTTGGGTTCTTCCAGAGGCTAACCCTGAGCCAAGATTTAAAGACCGCAGTTTGTCAGGAGTTTGAAGGAAAAGGGTAGTTGAGGGTGTAAAGGGAAGCTAGCCAATAATGGGTGCATCACTAAATCCACCACAGCAGGTGACTAGAGCTTATCCTTGTTCAAATTATCTTCCTGTCTAAAAGCTCTTCTCCAAACCTCTCCTCCCTTCACTGAGCTAACCTCTATCAGACTCAGGTGCCAACTCCTACAGGAAGCCCAACTGAAATACCTCATCCCTCACAGTGTGAGCCTAGGTGTCGCTGTCCCATGCTCTCTTAACTTTAAACAAACCTCTCATTTTTTACTGTTTCATTAGTTTGTTTATTGGAGGAGGATAGGATCCCAATGCTTTTTCATCAGTGTCCTCTAAATAACTGGCTCGTAGTAGCATGTGTTCATTCATTCATCTGTTTATTCAGAAAACATGGTGTGCCTACTTTGTTCTAGATGCTGGGGAAGCAAATATATCAGTGAAAAAACAAACATCCTGATCTTATGAAGCGTTTCCTCTTATAAACATATATGGTGGTAAGTGGTAGAGAGAAAATGAATCAGGAAAGTTAATTAGAAAGGACCTAGAAGGAGAGGCTATGCTGAACTGTGGATAGAAGGTCCTGGAAAGGCCTCACTGAGAAGGTGATGCTTAAGCAAAGACCTAAAAGTGGTGAGGGAAAAAAGTGGTTGTTCTTATGGGGCGACTGTGTTCTGGGAAGAAAAAAACAGGAAGTGCAAAGACCTTGAGGCCAGAACCTCTCTGAAACATTGTAAGATGGCAAGGGGCCAGTAAGCAGGAATTCAGCACCTAATAGTAAGATTAGTGGGAGGTGAAGCCTGAGAGATAAAAAAGAGGGGAGGGGAGGGAGAGGTAAACTGATAAGCAGACAATGTGATAAGTTAAAAACTTTGGTCTTGAGGACATTATGCTAAGTGAAATACGAGGTCAGACAAGTAAGTTCAAGGACTCATCTTAGAAAAAGTGCTACATACCTTGTAGCTGAATATCACTACAGTCATTTTGGAAGTACTCCCCTTGCAAAGCTATGCACCAACACCAGTGCCTAGTCCTCCCTTCAAAGCAATTTTGGAACTCTTTTTTCTGGAATGGCTATCAGAGCCGTCATCGTATTCCCCTTGATGTCCTGAATGTCATCAAAATGTCTTCCTTTCAATATTTCCTTTATCTTTGGGTAAAGAAAGAAGTCATTGGGGGCCAGAGCAGGTGAGTAGGGAGGGTGTTCCAATACAGTTATTTGTTTACTGGCTAAAAACTCCCTCACAGACAGGGCCTTATGAGCTGATGCATTGTCGTGACACAAGAGCCATGAATTGGCGAAAAGTTCAGGTCGTTTTTATCTAACTTTTTCACGCAGCTTTTTCAGCACTTCCAAATAGTAAACTTGGTTAACTGTTTGTCCACTTGGTATAAATTCATAATGAATAATCCCTCTAATATAAAAAACAGTTAGCAACATCATTGCAACAAAGTTCAAGAACTTGTTTCTCAGACCTTGAAAGCAAGTTACAAAAGGACAAATACTACATGATTTCATTTATATCTAAGTGAAACTCAATGAACAAAATAATAGAATGGTGGTTGCCATTGGTTGGGATAGGGAGGAAGGAGCTGCTAATCAACTGGTATAAAATTTCGGTCATGCCACATAAATAATGTGGACGGAAAAGGCGCCACATACTGAACCTCACGAGCTCAGGGGAGGCCTTCACAGCAGGCCCTACAAACTCAGAGACTGAAAGTAACCACATAGCATAGCCTGACCAAAAAAAGTCCCTAACTAAAAGCGGGTCATGGCCAGGAGTCACATCCCAGACCTGTAACTTCCTTGACAAAAGTCAATGTTTACCTTAAGTGAGCCTGCCTATTGTCTTTTTGCATCTAAGATAACTTACCTTTGGAAACAGAGTAATCCCTTTCCTGACCCCTCAGAGCACAACCTCCCACCAGAGCAGAAGACCACAGATACCCTCATTGTTATCATGTTCCTCGAATACCACCTCTATGTGCTATAAATGTTAAAACCAGCAGCTAGCCAGTCTTCTCCCAGATTTTCTTATATAGAGCACAACTGCTAATTCTGTATAAATATAAGCAGAAAAATAGCTTTTGGGAATATTAAAATGAAGCCTATTTTCCGCCACTGTCTACCTCCAAGTATCTGCTAGACTATGGATTAAGGAAGGTGATAGAGATCTCCTAAGAAAGTTTCACAGGTAAAATAAGTTTTTGAAGCTACAGGTCAACTGTTTTAGATTTCAAGCCTGTTTGGTTAATAAGTCCAATTGAAATAAAATTATGTTTAGTGATTACCATGTTTTGATAACAATAAAAACAAAAGGGGAAAGAGTGGATGCATAGAAAATATTTCTTACATAGTTTTTTAAAAATATAAGCAAAACTGTGTCAAGTGAGGGAATTATATTTAGATATTTATTTTAGTTAGCTTTAATCCATGCATTGCCTC